GGGGGGGAGTGTTGCAAAACAGTGGTAGAAGCAGTAATGGCAGTCTGCTCGCCTGTGGCAGGTGCTTATTTTGATGTGACACAAATACTTATTTTTGGTGAGCTAGCTGTCTGCATGCATATGGCAACAGGGCTGAAATGAGTCTTACGGGGAGGAGAAATATCGACAGTGACATTGGTGGCTGGAAACCGTAGAACTGAAGCAGATGTGTGTCCCTGGGCTTTGGCTTTCTGTTTAGTTATACAAATTCAGTTAATTTTTTTGAAAACTGTTGACACTGATGTATCTCAGTGGAAGCGTGCTTTCAAGAAAAAAAGGGTCAGTCATAATTTCTCCATTACTCTAAGCTGAGTCTTGTTGTTCTGTGGAAAATAAATTGATTAGGTTGTAGAGAAACAACCCTGAGTTACTTCCCTCTTCCATCTTTACAGCCAGATGCAGTGTGAAGGCTATGTTTTAGCAACAAATGTAATTAACTATTTTTGCTAAATTTATAACTGTACTCAATATCATTAATCACAAAATGACATGAACTTACTTGTGGAGACTGATGGTACTGCTCTTAAATATTTTTATTAATTCGTTTATATTTTCTAGGACATCACAAGAGCACTGTGTAGAGTGATTATATCCCATTCTCCAAGTGGTATTTTTCATGATCTTTCTCAGACTTCTGTTGTCCTTGGTTACATTTATTGCAAGAGAGCATAGGCTGCTGTGTCCTGTCAGTAGAGTGGTCCGGTTTTTGCAGCTTTGAATGCCTTCCACAGGTCCTGCTGTAGCCGAGGCACTACAAATGAACAAACTGAAGCCCAGTCTAGATCAGATGAAGTATGCTTTGTGGACTGACATTTTCATGGTCTCTTCTAACCCTGAAACCTAGCTATGAAAGCAACAGGAGCATGTGGGAAGAATTACTTTTAACAAGGAATATGGGTTGGGTTGGGCTTTTTTCCCCTTCTTCTGTATTTTGCTGTGGAACTGTAATTAGCTTCCATTTTTTATCAATGTCTTACGTAGTTATAGAAATCAGAGTCTTGTGTGTACTTTTGGACCAAGCAGACCTCTGCCATGGCCACCTTTATCCACAGGTCTGTGGCATAGCTAGTCCCTTTCCTTCCCATGCCTGGACCCTCAGGGGCACATGGTGGATGCTACAGGGTTGCCCGTTTTTTCCCGTTTCCTCGGTACTTTGTTCTGCAGTCAGATGACTTGGCTGATAGGTAAATGGCATCAGGGAAAAAAAATGCAATGATAAAAGCAGTCTTAACAGCAGTGCCACAGGCTGGCTTCTAGAGCCTGCTGCAGGGGAGGGTTTTGTTAAGGAGCAGCTCTCAGTTTTAAGAGTAAACTGAGATTCCACCTCTTAATTGTCCTGTGCCAAGCTTTGCTTTACTATTTTCCCTGAGAATTCATTGATAGTAGTGATAGAGAAGAGGAAGTTTGTTGTGGTTGTTTAATTATGTCATATGTCCTACTCTTTTCAAGTATGAAAGCTGTGGAGATAACACACATAAGCTTTGTTTTCCTACCGGTACTTCACTTCTCAGCTTCCTTTCAACCTTTGGTATCTTAATGATATCCTATTTTTTATGTCGCATGTCTAGTATATTATCTCTTAATTGTTTGAGCTGCTGCAGTAGCCATAGTTATCTTTCTGAGGCTAAGTCAACATGCTCAAGTAAACTCTTTCTAGAGCAGAATGGGAGGTGCTGAGGACTCAGTGTCCACGTTATGCACACTTCAGGACTTCTGCCTAAGACTAGTTTTGGACTGGGTCTTTGAACAAAAGTACCTCTGTGGTTGGAGCACATCAAGTGTGCTCCTGGAGCTAGTCTTTTGGCTCAGTTCACCCAGAAGGACTCGAGGCACAGCTCTCCAGTGTGCACTGAGGCAGGGTACATGGGAGTGAATTGGGCAAACTGCTTCAAAACCATGCTCCCCATTCTGTTTGAAAT